GCCCGCCTTCCCCCGTCTCCTGGTCCTCGGGAAGGTCTGAAATCTCCAGCCCGTTGTGGCTTTTTCCACTTCCCTCCGAGAGAAGTTTCCACATCACAAAACCACCTTGACGTTTAATTCCCTGTGACCGGAGCTTTCAGCCGCAGCAACGTAGCCCAGAGCTTCTGTGTCAGCGACTTGCTGAGGCAGAAGACGGAGGGGCTCGGGGACCCCAGCCGGCTCCCTGCTCCACGCGAAACCCACCCCAACCACACACAGCCCCACCCGTGGAGGAGACACCACACTTCCCCCCGGCCAGCCGGCCTCCAGATGAGGACGAGAGGAGGTGGGCTGCAAAGGAAACATCTGGAACACATTGCGATAGTTTAGACCGATGCAAACGTGGTTTGAATAAAACCCAGAAACGTCCTCCATCAACACAGCGGCGGACTAAACGCTTGTGGTATAACTAGGTCCCAGCTGCACTAAACACACACACACACACACACGCACACACATACACACACACACGCACACACACACATGCATGCAAACACGCACGCACGCACACACACCCGGTTTAAACCAGCGGTAGGCCTGCCAGCAAGCACAGGACACCTCCAACGGAAAGAACAAGAGCTGTGGACCGGCAACAAGAGAGCAACCAGCACGCAGAGAGGGCAGCACTGCCTTAGGGGGACATGCATACACCAGGGCACCGGTGAATAATGCGCATCTTTTCAATCGGAGTAGTTACACACATGTTGACATATATGCGATGTGACATGTGTGCTGTTTCCTTGTATTGCCCCTTCAGATGGCCACTTGTTCTCGATGGCACATGTTGACATATATGCGATGTGACATGTGTGCTGTTTCCTTGTATTGCCCCTTCAGATGGCCACTTGTTCCGATCGATGGCACACGCACGTTCTGAGCAGCACTTCAAAGCGTACGAAGGAGTGGGAAATTGGGTGTCCGAATGGTTTGCCTCAAAACAAGAAAAGTTCTATCGGGACGGTCTCCACAAATCACCTGAAAGATGGGGGAATGTGTAGCTAGCGATGGACATTACTTTGAACAAAGCACTTCTGATGTTTCTCTTGAAATTATCGTGTTGTCTTTTATTACAAAATCCGCATTTATGACAGTTAATAATGCAGATTAACTATTAACCAGGGCCGGGCAGCGGGAGGAGTCCCCTTTGCCATGCGACACCTGCTCACAGGTCCTGGAGCCAGGATGCTGACACCTTTGGGGGCCACTATTCTGCCGGCCACACGCCCTCCCGTCCATGGAAACTGGTAAAAGCCTGTCTCCTGACTGTTGGTGTGAAGCTGACTCTGCTGCATTGGACGCGAAAGGTTTCCTTCAGCCCTAAAAGCCGTCTTTCCTCCAGGCTGGAAAGGAGCGACGGCTCCGCACTCCCTTGGGCCCGGCTACTGCGCCTGCTGTGTCCGATGGGGAGGGTGGCCCTGGGGCGGCCCTGACGTGACCCTGGCCCCCGTCCAGCATGTGCTCCGACGCAGGGCACGCGAGCCCACTCCTGGGGTTCAGGGTTCGAGGCAAAGGAGGACATCAGAGGAAGCGTCGGGGCACTCTCCACGCCTGTTTCCTCATCCACACGCGGGGACGCACAGGGAGGCGCCCTCGGAGCCCTGGGAGCATCCCGGAGCCACGGCAACCGCCCGGCACCCGGCGGGGGAGCCAGCGTGGTTCATGTGGAAAGTTCCCGCGAGCCAAGCCCACGTCAGCGACACTCAGATGTGGCCCCGGAGGGTTTTGGCAAAATGTCAGGATCTACTTCCCAGCCCCAATGTGACCGATTCCGTCCTCATTCTCTCTGGGGACCCCCTGGGGCTGGAGGTGCCCCTGCAGGTGGCTGGGGCTGGGGCTGGGGCTGGGGCTGGGGCTGGGGCAGGGTGTGGCGGGGG